CCTACTACGCTTGCAAAGGTAAAATGATTGGCTAGAATCCAAAGTGTATGACATCTCAGGAAAAAAAAAAGCACCGAAATGTGCGCTGCTTTTCAGTCTGGTTACTACCGTTTACCCATGGGTACTACCGGTACCCATCCCTAATCCCCACCATATGATTTAAGCGGTGAATTAAGATCTGATGATCAACGGTATTGAAGGCCGAGCTAAGGTCCAATAGGACAAGGATTGAGCAATCACCTCTGTCCGCGACCATCAAAAGGTCATTTGTGACTTTGAGGAGAGTAGTTTCTGTGGACTGTGACTTTCTAAATCCCAACTGAAGGTCATCAAGAATGTTATGTTTCTCCAGTGCCTTCTTTACTTGGGACCAAACGACTTTTTCTAATATTTTAGAAATGAAAGGAAGTTTTGAGATGGGTCTGTAGCTTGACTGAAGAGTCGGATCCAGGTTCGGCTTTTTCAGCAGAGGTTGAATAACACCCTGTTTAAAGCACCTGGGGACAGAGCCAGACAGGAGGGAACAGTTTATCAGAGTGACCACAGAGGGCCCAATGGTGTCAAAAACTGTGCAAAATAAAGAAGTAGGTAGGACATCAGCTGGACTTATTGAGGGTTTCATTTGGGTCAGGATTTTTTTTATATATCTTCTAAAGAAACTGGGTGAAGGGATTCCATAATTACAGGGTGTGGAAGATCGTGGTTGAAGGGACTATCTGAGGGAACTAAGTTTCCTCTTAGGTCACTGATTTTGTCTTGGAAAAATCTTAGAAAGTCATTGCTGTCCTTATCTGAAATGACAGTTGTACACGGAGTTTGGGAGAGACTATGTTATTTACTGTACTGTGAACCTTAGGATTTCTTTTTCTTACTGCAAGTCGTTTAGAGAAATAAGTGGCTCTCGCATCTTTCACCATGTAGTTGAAGGTAGATAATAGTTCTTTTAGGTGGAGCTTATGAACCTCAAGTTTTGTGGCTTTCCACAGGCGCTCAGTTTTACAGCCTAAAGCTGCGGATAGCTTCTGTGAACCAGGGCAGGGATTTGGTAGTGCTGCCTTTCCTGATTTTAAGAGGAGCCACTTTATCTAGAATTTTTTGACATTGCGAATTAAAGGGTCAGTAATTAATCGTGAATGCTTCACATGAACAGAGGGCAGTGTGTCAGAAATAAAGGAGAGATCAAATAAAAGATATTTATGATCACTAATAAAAATGTCAAATGACAAACTGGACCGATATCCAGACCCAGTGATAGAATCAAATCTAAGGTGTGGCCACCGCTGTGTGTTGGCCCAGTCACGTGTTGGGTAAAGTTGAAGAAGTCTAAAGGACTAAGAAATTCAGAAGCAGTGTGGCATGATTTGTCATCAACATGGACATTAATATCCCCCAGCAGAAGGATTTTATTCAGCTTGATGGTGGAGGACAGAAAGTCCACTAAGAAACTCCTCGCTAGTGCCAGTGGTCTATAGATTGAGATCACATGGAAGGGATTATTCCTGTTTATCTTCATCATCTGAATCTCAAAAGAATTAAAAGAAGAGGTCTTCACCAGATGACAGAAAAAGGAGTTTCTAGCAATATCAGCCAGCCCACCTCCACGTCCTGAAATCAATGGTGTGGTCAGACAAATACAGACAAATCTGCAGGGCACAGTTCATTAAAATGAGCAAATTCCATATTTCGCTGCCAAGTTTCTATTAGGAACAAAAAATCCAGGTTATTCCTAATAAAAGGATCATTGAGGACCAATGCCTTGTTTGAGATTGAACGACAGTTTATAGGGTCATCTTAATCGGCGAGGCTGAAACATCTCTGGTTAGATCCTGAGAGGCTTGGCGCAGGTTTGCCCTGCACAATCCCCGGGACTTCTTACCTTTTATCGTAAGCCGTGGGACAGTAAGACGGTCCTTATGAAACTCGTATGGAGAAGCCGTGCATTCAGCTGGAAGTCCGTTTTAGCTAAAACATCCAATGTTGGGAGCCTCGAGCAGGATGCTAAATCAGCGGTATTCCTATATTTCCATAATCTCACTTGGATGCCCGCTCTCCTTCCTCGCTTCCTCCGGCGACTTTTTGTCGGGGAACGGCAGCTCCGGTTTCTGCCTGACACAAGCAAGCATGGGAGGTTATCACATGGCGCACACACAGGCGCCATCTTGTCTGAAGGTGACTGGCTTGGCTCTGAAGTATATTCAGTCTTTTCAGTGTATTTTATAGCTTTTCTTTGATGAAATGTCCCCATCAAGAGAACCTTACTCTGTCACCACTGTTGCTTAATTGCCTTCAAAGCTCTGTTTTTACTTTTCATCCAGTACTTATCTGTGTCATTATGTAACACACTGGCATAATAGGCACCATGTGGCTCATTTAGCAGGCTGACTTCCTGGCTATTATTAGCAAAAGACAGCTCTTAGAGCTTCTATATCTGAACTTGGGTAGGATAGGTAATCAACATCTATATGGTGTATTTTTGAAGATGAAAGATCCTTTTTGTAATTATTCTTTGCTGAAACATTCATGACCAGGGAGCACCATTTTATCAGTAGATGGCCTGAAATAGATGTCTTTTCATATTTCTTTTTGTTTTTCTTTATTATTTCTAAAGAAAGAAATCTGTCGCCATGACTCTTTGACCTTACATTTTTAAAAATAAATGTGTAAAATTACAGAAAACCATAATTTGATCGCTTTGGTGTAGCATGAATAGCAATGGGGGAGGTTTTATCAGTAGGAAAAGCTGTAAAACCTATGAACATACAATTAAAAATCCAAAATTTCTGTTCTCTTTCACATTTTACGAAGCCATACAATTAGCCAGATTGTAGTCTTTGCTGGTCCAATTCTGGTCCCCAGGCCTTATGTTTGATATAGTGGTTAAAATTGGTATTACATGAGAATACAGCTCAGCCCTAGTTGGACTTCAATTGAACACAATACACAGATGTTTTGGGAAGAAAGTCACAGCTGTTGTGTGTAACAGCTTTTATTCGTTTTGAATTATTTCAAATATGCACGTGAACATTGTAGTATATCCTGAAATAAAATAATTAATCTTTAAATAATTATGGTATGGCGCTAAAAGCCTACAAGAGCCTTCAACTCCATATTTGCTGAAATGATAGTAGTAATAATGTGTTGTGTCTCCCTCTGTCATTAGGGTATCCCAGGAACTGTGGGAATGCGTGGGCCAACAGGTTTCACAGGACCGAGGGTAAGATCATCCTCCTGACATCTAACTCACCTTGTCCTTTTTGATATAAGAACTGGACAAAAGATGCTGTTGTACATACATGAGTCGGTATATTGTGTTAAGCGTGAGGGACTCAGCTATGAAAAGGGCAAGCCAAAGATTTTTGACTAGAATATTTTTGACATTTAGTTGGGTACAGAAATGTTCTGTTAAAGCTGTTAAAATCTTTTGATTGGAAGTAACTTTACAGCTTCAATTATCAGAAACAATCACAATAAAATAATTTTTCTTCTTTCTGCACCAGGGGGAGCCAGGTTTACGAGGATTACCCGGTCCTGTTGGGAAGCCTGGACCTCCAGTAAGTGTCTGCAGTTTATTTTTGCTTTTTTATTTCCTAACCTTTAACCCCTGGGAGCTATTTGGGGTATATGAGGGGTAGACTGAGTATTGTAAAGCAGATTAGATTAAAGCAAAAGAGATTGTGGGGTCACACCAAGAAGGGGCTGGTAAATAAAATAGACCGATGAAATGTGCAGCTGGTCTACAGGGACTGCCAGTATATGGAGGCAAACAAGTCAGAGTGATTGATTTTACTGAGAGCTCTGGAGGAAAATCTAATGGCGAAGTAAGTGATGTGGCAGGCTCAGCTGAAAGAGGACAAATAAATTGTTCCAATCACTGTCTTCTCGTCTGGCCACAACTGTACACATCAAATACCAGCTTAATTCTTCAGATAGGTACTCCACTGATCTTCCCTGTTTTATTGTTTTTTTTCTGTAATGGTACAAAATAATTACCTCAACTTGACTCATATGTTTTTTTCAGTTTTGGTTAAGTTGTGGGAGAAAAAACAAAATCTGTGCTGTTCTTGCCAAAGTTTGTTTACCCTATAAATCACTGTCGGTCTTTTTGTTGGTTAGATTTAGGAATAAGAAGGTCCCTTGTGCATGGAAGGAGTTAGTTTTAAGTAGTGGAAGTGAAACTGTTTTTTGAAGCTGCCAGCACTCCATGCAGTGTCATTGGAGCCACTTTTTACTTACACAGATGGCTGCCCAACACTGCAGTGAAATCAATCAATCTGTCATAGAGATAAGGCAGTTTGAGCTCAGTTTGAACGCTAAATAATGTCTTAAACTCGTCATTGTTCCGCATCACTGAAGGCATTTAAAGCTGCACTCATCATGGGAGAGAAAAACCCAGGTTAAGGTTCCAAAGATTATCAGGCATACAAATGTTAGTGTTTTATTCTCAGTGAGAATAACAAAATACAAGTAAACAAACCAAGGGGATGTGTCAGACAGAAGATATTGTGTTTTTAGATAAGTTAAAAAAAAGTTAACTTAAATTTTTAAACATGTGCTTTTAGGTCAATTACAGGTCATAAAATCATTAAAGATACTTAAAGAACTTAATATCCTTTAAGTGTGTTTCATTTGTATTGGTGTTACACTAGCTTAGCTATGGTTAAAGATTCAGGACAGGTTGAAACTGAGTAACCTAAAACACATCTTTACAGCCAGAGATCACTAAAATTACAGTTTAAAAAAAATCTTCATCTGCAGATAACAGTTCATCTTTACAAATCAAGTAATAGAACTAGTACAATGTCAGTAAATCATAAGATTTTACAGCTTGTGTGAACTTTCTACAATTTTGGAGAAGTGCCCACATAAAAATGAATAAATAAATAAGATAAAATAACAATAATTAAATATAAATACATAAATAAGATCACACTGTTGATCACCTAAGACATCAACAATATCCAGTTTTGTAGGTTTAACATATTTTACCCACTTATCCCATAGCTGATCAACCACAGAAAGCAACCAGTGTGATGTGAGTGTTTTTAAACATGCAGATATAAGGAGCTTGATCGAACTCTGTTTCATTTTTTTTAGGGTTTGCAAGGTCCTCCTGGAGAGAAGGGACCCCGAGGACCACAGGTGAGACAAATCCTCACAAGGTGGTTTATCTTATATTTCGGTTGTAAGTGTTAAGTTTCTGGTGTCTCTGTGAAATATCACTTTGAGAAACCATCACATTAAACATCCTAATTTATAATAATAATAATAAACTGAAAATAAAAAAGGACACAAGATGAATAAGTATTTCTGCAAATGCAATTAAACACTGATTTAAAAAAATCAGCCCAACAGTCAGAAATATCCTTCTTTTGTTATCTCGCATTTGATGATGATGGTAAATGGTAAATGGCCTGTATTTGTATAGCGCTTTACTTAGTCCCTAAGGATCCCAAAGCGTTTTACACTACAAACAGTCATCCACCCATTCATTCACACACTGGTGATGGCAAGCTACATTGTAGCCACAGCTGCCCTGGGGCGCACTGACAGAGGCGAGGCTGCCGGACACTGGCACCATCAGTGTCCGGCAGCCTCGCCTCTGTCAGTGCGCCCCAGGGCAGCTGTGGCTACAATGTAAGCAACAGCATTGTGATTAATCAAACAATACGTTGTATGCCTAAATTAGAATAAACTGAAAGCTAAAAAGAAGAAAAACATTCCAAAGAGCCTCACAGAATTGCAGTAAATATTTAAAGGCAATTTAGCATGAGCACTAGCATCATTACTCATTAAAATAGCCTGCTGCTAAATTGGGATGATCAGTGTGATAAGCTGAACAAAGCATGCCCAACAAGATTCGATTTACAGATATTTTGCTAATAGTATATTTACCAGAGCAAACTAAAAACTATCAGAGAGATAAAATGAGGAAATATATTAAATAAGGTCACAAACTGACAGATTTAAAGGCAATTTAACATTATGCTAAAATTCTTTTCAGAGCCATCACAGCATGACTTTCAATTCTGTGTTTCTTAACAACAAGTTGAACTGTTGTTGTTTCTAACAGGGTCGTCCAGGAGATGACGGCTTCAAAGGGATACAGGGTCCACAAGTAAGTTTGAGTTAAATAAAGAAGATTGCACTCTGCATTTTCATTTGGGCAAATTGTGTTTGCCCGATCTCACTCACTGCTTTTTCCTTTATTTAACGTGGCATGTTTAGATTAGGTGTTGAAGAATATGTAGTTCTGCATGCTGTTGAAGGTCTGCCTAGAAAACAAAACCAGTCTGCAGTACTTACTATTCAATTCTATGTTTTTGCTGATCGTCCCGTCAGACTTGTTGATGAAGCTATTTTGGTCAGGCTCACTGTGACTCCCACAATAAGACAAAATAAAACTAATCATTTAATGATCATCTAAAGCTCCAGTGAATGAGATGCAGCTGTTGCAAGCTGTTACTGCAGGGAGGGAGCTGTCTTTCCATAAAACTGAGTATGCTGTATTGACATCACACAAATGGGTTTTAATTGATTCATTGTTGCTGATTTCCCTGCAACCCATTCTTGTATTATATTACTCACAATCCATGAAAACAATCATCACAAAATGAGTATGTTACCAGTCATTTCCTCATCGACGTGCTCCAGCGTTGCATAAAAACAGAAGAAGTGTTCTTTTGCAATCGTTTGCATTTGTTAGACATGTATATAGGCAAACGGGCAAATATATTGGTTTAAAATCTCTTTAAATTAAAATTGATTGTATGTCATTGATGAATTGTACACATTAAAGAGAAAAAATGTGTTGTGATTAAATTACAGGATGTGCTTCAGGACGTGTTTACTCCAAATTAATGAAAAAAATAATCAGTGAGCAAAATAGCGATTGTTTTTATATTAGACTTTAAAAAAATAACCTAATTGAAAAAGTTTCAATTTGTATTTTTTTTCTGTCATTTTTAAGGGTCCTCCAGGTCTACCAGGTCCTGATGGGGCAATTGGAAAACCCGGACCAATGGGAAGCAAAGGGCCTCCAGGACTTCAGGGACCACAGGGGCAGGCAGGAATCCCAGTGAGTGGGTACCTACCATCGACTGCTGTTACCTCATGTTGCATGGAGAGATAAATGTCCATGTTATTTGTTTTTCAATACATGTAAAATCTACTGAATCATCACAAGAGTGCATAAAAGCTGACGTGCATGTCTGTTGGATCTGATCAGGGTCCGCAGGGTGCTGATGGATTATCAGGGGAACTGGGGGAAAGAGGACCTAAGGTAAATTACAGTCAACTCCAACAGTTATGTAATGTAAATGTTTTATAATGACAATCTCTTATTTCTTCCTTCATTAATGTTCAAACACTGAAACTTCCAGGGTTTACCTGGATTACCTGGAGAAGCAGGCCCCATGGGACGGCAAGGACAGCAGGTTGGTGTATTTTGTTGTGAAGCAATTAAAACTTCTTAGATCTGATTTCTTCACTTACCTCTCCTAACTGCTGGGTCTCTGAAGCCAGCTGATCAATACTTAAGGCACTTTTATCTAATCTTATGAGCTTTTTCCTTATTCTGTATATTAGATTTAAAGAAAGTGTGTAGGAATTATTGACACCTGGTAGTAAGATTTGAGCTCAATTTTGTTTGCCTGTGACTGTGTTGAGTCACCATAATATCCACTGATGAGATAACTTGAGACAGATATTGATAAATTCTGTTTTGTTAAAAATGTATGTATTTTTGATTAGCAGAGAGATTTTCAGTCCAGAAAAGGTTACAATGTTTTGTGCGGTCACCAGCAACGATTTTGCTTCGTGCTTGTAAAGAGTACAATAAAATTAGCGTTCTCAAATTTCTCTTGCAACGTCACAACTTTAAGCTGCCGTTGTTTTGTTGGTCCATTTTGTTGGAATAACTTGGCAGTGCAACATGGCAAGCTCCATGAAAGAGAAATAGCTTTTATATTATATATTATTATATATAATGTACACTGATTAATTAAACACTAAGTCACATTCATGGTTCATGCTTGAGTAGCCATAATGACAGAGCCTACAATACAACCCTTATTGTAATTGTTCCATACTTTGAACATAAACTATGGGGTGATTAAGGCCCTGTTTAATGCTTATAAAGAAAATATTATTTTTAATTGGCTTTTTTAATTGCTCCTTTTTTTTGCCACCAATTAGTTTTATGTTTTTCTATTAGAATGTTTTAGAAACATTTTGTTAAGTTTTGCTGTTCTATAAAGCAGTTTTCACATTTTTCATCAGGGTCCTCCTGGCCACACAGGAATCGAGGGCCCACTTGGAAGGAAAGGAGACCAGGTCAGTGGTAACAGGACCAAAGTTGTATACCCGAAATTATAAACCTTGGACTCCATTATTGAGGAAACACTTGAAATAAAATGTCTTTATTCTCATAACAATGTCAGAGTCAGACTTAAAAAACACTTCTGCCCTATCAGAATTGTAAGTTACAGTGGTCCCTCGCTATAATGTGGTTCACATTTCGCAGCCTCGCTGTTTCGTGGACTTTTTTGTGTGCAGTTTTCAATTTTTTTTTTCTTTACAGCGCATTGTGTTCTGCGTCCTGATTGGCTCTAGATCATTGTCAATCAATTTCGTGCCTTGTGTCCAGTACAGTACAGAATGCGTTCAGCTTGTCAAATTTACATAGATCTTCGATTGGTAGCAATGTGACTCTGAAGTGCTGTACAGTATGTTTGTTTTCTCCCTGACAAACACAACAATGTTGATGAAACGTCATCACCTGCGGGTGCCTTTTTTTTCATTCTATAATACTGCACTTATTTTTCTATGAAGGTTTGAACTTTGAGAGTGTTTAAGCAAGAGAGAAAAGTGTGAAAATGTTCATGTCTGTCTGAGAAAAGTGTATAAAGTGTTTAGTGAGGAGTTTACAGCCTTAAAACATCTGTAATAATTGTAAAAATATTACGTTGGCTACTTTGCGGATTTCACCTATTGCGTGTTGTTTTTGGAACGTAACTCCCACCATAAACGAGGGACCACTGTGCCTTGTATTAATCAGTGGCACAGATGAACATTTTCTCTAATTCTTTTATTGCAACAGAAATTAAATTCACAATAAATGCGATACCTCTGTAGCGGCAGCAATACTCAGCGCCTGTTCATTAAATGCTCCATGCTGAGCAACTTTAAGAAAATGGAACAGTCTGGTCTGGGTACAGGAACCTTAAATGTGGAAGTCATTAAACTACTTTTTCTTTTGGACCTCATGAAGCCAAGGAGACTTTGTTTAGTGGTTTAAAACAGTCTGCAAGGGTCCAAACGTTTGATAACTTTTTAGCCTCCAAAAGCCTGATATCTGACTTTCCTACACTTTCCTGTTTGACAGGGGGATTTAGGACCTTGTGGGAAACCTGGTTCTAAAGGGCCACCAGGAGAAAGGGGACCTCAGGGGGAAAAAGGCCTACAAGGACCATCTGGACCAGTCGGTAAAGAGGTAATTATCAATTACAGGTACAATTATCTTTTTTTTACTTAAATTATTTCAGGTGTTGAGACACATGTCCAGCTGCTGTCTCTTAAATAACAGAGTTGTTGTACCGGTGGTGATTCTTTTTTTCCAGAACCCCATTTCCTTTATTGAATCCTACAAGCATCCTGTCCAGAGTGTATTGTTGTGCAACAGATGTGCTTTTAATTATTGGTAAAATTAAATTACTCTCAGCTGAAAAGCTGAAGGTATTTGAGGTCCTTTGTTTTTTTTAAAAAAAGTATAAAATTGGTTTGAAAAGCATTAAACGCCCATTTGTGGTACATAAAATGTGGAATTCCATTTTCCTGATACTGTGGTAATGACAGTACCTATTTCACATTGATTTTAAGGTTTTGAAGTCTTGATTTTATGAAAGAGCAGAGAGAGACCGTGTGGCTTGTAGTTTTTGTAATCATTTCAACAATGACACCTTTTTAAATCTACATTACACCCTGAAAGCACCATAAATAAAACAGGATGTGGCAAGATAAGTATCTTTTAATAATCTTTTTGTTGTCTGCAATACAACAGCGTTATTGTTTTTTAACAAAGTGAAGCCTGATATCTAGTTCAGCCAGCTCAAACTGTTTCCCACTCAAACCTCACTGTCCTTCCAGTTTGATGGTCTATTTAAGCAGAGAAAAATCTCCTATCCTCATGTTTTAACCATTCCACCAACCCGGCTTTTGGGCTCAGGGGATATTTTCCTATACCTCCCCATGTCCTCATAACTATTTGCGAGAAGTTGTGCTTGAAAGCTGTAGGCCAAACTAACTGTATAATCTTTTCAAACATGAGTTTTCTGACAGATCTGATTCTTTATTACATGTAAAACATTGCCTTATGAAGAAGGAAAATATGTTGGTTTTACCTCACTGTAGGCTTCCTTGATGACTGAACCATTAAGTAACTTCTGTTCCCTCATCTTCTTCAGGGGGATGTTGGACTTCCCGGTGAAGTTGGAGATCCTGGACCCAAGGGGGAGAAGGTAAGCTTCAGTTTAGTTAAAAATACAATATATTGAACAAGCAGGCGAGTTCTCTCTGGGTGATGTTTGCAGTTCCGGTCATGCTGTTGTTATTGTGTGCAGGGTGAGCTGGGACCTCTTGGTTTGTCTGGTCGAGAGGGTCCCTGGGGACCCCTCGGAGAAAATGGTGACAGGGGTCCAAAGGGGGAGAAGGGCCACTTGGGACTGATGGTGAGAATATGTGTACTCAACAGTTCTGTGGAAGTTGGATGTTACATTTTAGTAACATTACCCACATTTCCTTCAAGCTTGTTCAGTTTCAAAACACCAACAGTGACATTTATTAGAGCAATTTTTAAGAGCACTGAAATGCAAAAGGGTGACACAAAGGATAGGTTATCTAAGATCTATCACTGTAATTAAAACAATTTAAACTGTAAATTAAACAAAGAACTTCATTCAGATTTATTAAAATCATTGGAAACTGATGTCTTCCTCTTGAACAGGGTGAACCAGGACTGATGGGTGAACTAGGCCCTGTGGGCCTGCCTGGGTTACTGGTGAGTTGAATACCAGAATGTAGAGTATTGATGCTTTTGATATGCTGCTTAGAGTGCTTTTTGAATTAACCTGTATTGAATAGTTTATAGCTGTGACTGATATTTAATGACACACAGTTGGCTTTTTCCCTCACAACTCTGCAGATTGCAAACTGATGTTAATGTGCAGCTTTATTGTGCTGTGATTCTTTTCTCATTTCAGGGAATGATAGGTCCTCCAGGACGTCCAGGTCCCGATGGACCTCAGGGAGAGAAGGTAACAAAACAGTTTCTCATAAGAGTCACAGTGCTGTTAAGATTTATATAGTACATAATTCCAAATAAGAATTTTAAGAGTGCCCTCTAAGAATGTTTTTTCATGACGTTTCAGCAAACTTTTGAAGTACTTTTCATTATGCACAATGAAGTCAAGCCTAAAAGGAGGCTCAGACTCAGAAAGACAGTTCAATTGGTTTATTTTTACTGTGATGCGGGGTTAATGGACGAGTTGTAATAAAGAAGATGGTCTGCACTGGCAGGCAGGAGTTAGGCAATAGCTGTAGGCAGACTCGTTTCATCAGTCAGGGATAATCTGAGGCTCAAACCCAATAGTCTAGCAGCTTGATGAACGCCGTTATTACTTTGGTAGGAAAAGCCAGCTTAGATACACAGCTGCTCAGTAGAGTTACTGAAGGGCAGGTGTGAATGATCAGTAGTCTGCTGGAGGGAATGAAGCCTCGTACCTGGACACACAAACATGGAAAGAGACTAAGGACAACAAGGGGAAAGAGACCTGGCACTAGAGGAACATATATACATG